CAGGAAAGAATATTCAGAAATTTGTGTTTCAGAGAACAAAGTGAAATCAAAAAGAATAATAGTTCAGAATCTTCAAAAAGTGGGAAGAGCAGAAACAAAAAAACAGAAAGGAGAATTCAAGTTGAGAAGTCAAATGGTTTTTCAAACCGAAGGGAATTGATGGTGGCCTAAATAATTAATAGAGGTTTATGATAAAGGTATTTCAGGACTGAGCTCAAAATTCAGCTCAGATGTGCAGAAAAATTGTATGTTCTTTATTTTGTTTAAAACTGTTGTTTATTATAATTAAAATTGAGCCCACACTTATATTCCTATATGAAATGTTCAAATTCTAATAAAACTGAACTCTCTCACCTCTGATTCTCTTCTTGAATGATGTATAGAAGTATAGGATCAGTGGCCGTGATATCCTTCTGAAGTTTGGAGCAAAAAATTTTCTGGCCTTGTGCTAGTCTATGATAGTTGGCATTGTTCTTATATCTGTGGTGATCATCTTTGCTAGCTATCTTAGGGTACATTGGCAGATGAGGGGATAACTTTCCTGGCTTGGTCATGGCCTGAGAGTGCTCACTATCCAACCCATTCTGACCTACTTCCTTCTGGCTGGAGGGTGCTCCATAGTCTGCAGCACCCTCCATTAGCCCCCTGTTCTGACAGCCCACTCTGTCTTCTGTGGCCAGGTTACTTTATTGCCATCATGACAGACCTTCTGGGGCTTAACTCAGCATCATCCATTCTAGACAGGAACTGACAGCAACATGCGAAAATTCAACCTGCAGAATTCTTTTTGCCTGACCACATTTCATAATTCAGTTTACTTTGATATGACTATACCTGTGCCTTCAAGGTGGCCTGTGGTTGGAGTCTCATCATACCTCTTAGCTTATCTAGTGTGCATACTGTACACAAGTTTGTACGTGCACACAAACACATACACATCCTATGCGGGATTGAATTCAAGCAGAGGAAATTGGGAGATAAACATCTAATTGTTTCATTTTCCTGTCTCTTTTTTTCTTCCTGTCACTCTCTAAGGATAGAAAAGAGCACACTTTTGTTGACTTCCCCTGCATAATACTGTCCTTCTTGTGATGCCAACCAAGACTTAAAAGCACATAGGGATCATTTCTCTTAACTCTGGGAATATTACATAACATGAAATATCCAAATTCAGCTATTTATAAATTAACCTGGTGTATATAAATTTAGAAATCCCTTCTAATATTCTATATAACATGTCAGAAACTGGATGTCTTCTTAGCAATAATTTTCTCTTTAATTTTATACCAAATCCTTATAGAAGGAAGTCTCAGAAAAATAGTGTAAAAGTCATATACTTAAAAAGCAGGAGACAATGTCTTTTTAAAAGTTTCTTCTGTGTGAAAAATTATCAAGGTTAACATCACCAGTGACCTATTATGTGATAGCGTATATGCCTGTTATAATACAATGCAAAGGGCAGTGGTATTTTCCCAAACCCATAATCCCAGTGCAATCATGTGGTAAACATCAGACAAATCCACACTTAGGTATACTGATAGATATGAAACTCTCAAGGTCTTGGAAAAGAAAGACAGACTGGGAAACTTTCACAGGCCAGAAGGGACTGTGCAATACACTGAACTGAATGGGATCCTGAAGTAGAAAAAGATATTAGGGAAAAAAAACTAGCAAAATCTAGATAAAGTCTGGAGTTTAGTTAATAATATCGAACCAATAGTGGTTTCTTAGTTTTGGAAACTGTACAATAGTTATGTAAAATGTTAACATTAGAGAAAACAGAGAAGAATTTAGAAGAACATTCTGCATATTCTTGTAAACTCTGCTAAAATCTAAAATCATTCAAAAATAAAAAGGTTATGTATGCAGCACTATTCACAATAGCAAAGTCATGGAAGCAACCCAAATGCCCCATCAGTGATAGATTGGGTAAAGAAAATGTGGCACATATATACCCTGGAATACTATGCAGCCATAAAAGAGAACAAGATCATGTCCTTTGCAGGAACACAGATGGAGCTGGAAGCCATTATCTCAGCAAACTAACACAGGAACAGGAAACCAAATACAACATTTCTCACTTATAAGTGGGAGCTGAATAAGGAGAACAATGCACACAGTGGCCTGTCAGAGGGGCAAGGAGAGGGAGAGCATCAGGATAAATAGCTGCTGCATGCAGGGCTTAATACCTAGGTAACAGGTTGATAATAGCAAACCACCATGGCACACATTTACGTATGTAACAAACCCACACGTCCTGCACATGTATCCTGGAACTTTAAATTAATTTTTAAATGATATATATATATATATATTTTTTTTTTTTACCAACGGATACCCAATTGATCTAACACCACTTATTAAATAATTGTCTACCCACAGATTTGAAATGCCATCTTTAGCATATACAAAATTTCCATATACAGTATATGTGTACTTTCTGTTCTATTTGCAAAGATCCACTTGTATATTCTTACTTCAGTACTATATTGCTTGTTACTCTACCTTATAATAAAGTTTGTATTAAAATTTTTTTAATTAATTTTTAAAGGCTATGTAAAAACAAACAAAAAATATGCTGAGATAACTGCTTTGAAGATCAGGTTACAAAAGCACTGGATTCCAACTTATTCACTGCTGGCCCCACAGCCGTCACTCTGGAAAAGCAAGCTGTCACATTGTGACTAGATCTATGGAGAAGACCATAAGGAGCGACATGGAGCCAATGTCTCTAGTAAGGATGGACAGCCTGCCGTCAGTTATATAATTGAGCTTCGGAGGGGATCTCATCCACTCAAGCCTTTAGAAGACTACAGCATCATCTGACACTGTGGTTTTAGCCTCAAAACAGACTACGTCAGAAGTACCCAACTGAGCCACGCATTGATTCCTGACCCACAGAAACTGCAAGATAACAAATATTTATAGTTTTAGAGAAAAGAAGAAAACACTGGAACTGTAAAATTTAAAACCCTTTTCAATGGAGCTCACCAATAAATTCTGGAGTTATAATAAAAACATGAGTGATTAGGATAGAGCAAGAAAAAAAAATCCAAAATAAGTGAAACCGTAAATTCTCAAACATCTTTATAACTATCCAACATACCTTTCAGGTACAGGGAAAAGTAATAGCTATTAAAAATAGAAAGCCTGTCTACAATTATTTTCCTAATGAAATCATTACAGAGGCATGAATGAAGAATAAAAGAAAGAATAAAAACAGGAATTTAATATTTCATGTATCTGTCCATTATGCCACTGCTGGCAGTGTTGCTGGCAATGATGGACTTGTCATTGTTTTTGAAGTCCTGTTTATATATACACAGGACTTAAAAAAAAAAAAAAGGAGATCTGTTATACAAAAAATTTTTACAAATTTTTCAAAAAATACATATTTCTTCATTTAGTCTAGCCATTTAATACTAAGTTTGATTCTTACGGTGTAACAAAAGAGGAAGTTGAAATCCAATGTGGTTTCTTCACATAGTTTTCTACTTTTCAATGATTAAAGCTGTGGTCTCCTGTCAATGAGGTCAGTACATTTCATAGATGCTACAACAAAATTTGTGCTAAATTTGCAACTGTAATGTTCTTGTGAAAAACTCTACTTTATTCCTAATTAATGGTACCAGAACAATTTAATCCATCTTAGAAGTGTTTCCTGTTAATGATTTTTAATAGATATTCTTTTCTTTAAAACTAAATTCCAGCTATGCAATCTCTGACGGCAGGTAATAAGAAAGAAGATGAAAGATCTGTTATATAGGAAAAACTGAGTAAAGGAATTGATATAAAATTAAATTATAAAGGTTGTGATTCAAGTAAAGATTGAATCAGGTATTTTGAGCTCAAGAAAGTAATTCAGTATTCTGAAGACACATAAAAGAAAAGCAAAAAGTTTGTTATCAAGAAGACAATGGCTCAATGGGAACTTTAGTATTGTCCATCAAAATGTAAAATGCACCATTTCATTGAACAAGCAATTCAAATTAAAGAAATTAACGGTGAAGATGCATACAAATGATACATATTTATATGGAGAGTGAAATGTTCATTGCAATATTGTTGTATCAAACATTGAAAATAGCCAAATGTCCATCAATAAGGAGACATTCATTATATCATCTACATAATTTACCCTGAAAAACACTAAAAACTCTCACTCATTGGAATGAATGGGATTGATCTACGTGTGATGACATGGAAGGCTATACATCGTATTAACAACCAGAAAAGGAAGCTACATAATATTATATATGTGACTGCCCTGAAATATTCTTTCTCATGTATCTATATGGTTGGCTTTCTTAGTCCCTTCCTGTCTAGGCACAAAAGTAATCACAGAAAGGTCTTCTCTCACCACCCATATGAAATGTAACACTCACACGCAACTACCACCATCACTATGCCTTTCCATGCACTAACTTGCTTTAGCTTTCTTTCATCATCTTGAATATATATTTTTTCAAATGCTTTCTCTCTGAACAATATAAGCTTGACAAAAGTAAAGTCTTGGTGTGTATTCTCAATTTCTAAAGCAGAGCTGAGAGCATAATAGGAAATCAATTACTATTTGTTGAAGAAAGAGATTAATGAATCTCTACTAGCAGAGAGAAGTAAGATACCAAAGAGTTAAATGGTTTACTTGAATTCATGCAGCTAGTGAGAGATGATGCTGCTATTATTACAACTCCAAACCTGTGCTCATAACTATTTTATGGTACAACATCCCCAAACTTATCATCATTCTATTTCTTCTCTTCTCTTCTGTTTTCTCTCTTTTCTTCCATAAAAGCATGATACTGTTTGGTTGCCATATTTCCTAATTCATGGCTGATGATGATCATCATCAAACTCTGTAAGGTTTTCTTTCTATTTTATTTTCCCCTTTGCCCCCAAAGCATCCACTGTAGTATATTTAAGTAAAGTATACCTTTAGATATTATGTCTCTTAAAAGCTATGTAGTCCTTTTTTTTTTTTTTTTTTTTTTTTGCTTCAGGCCAACACGACTGCAGTTTATTTGACTATTTTATGGTAGGGGAGAAGGTTGAGTGTTGATGTGAAAGCCCTGATATCAGTAATGGGGATGATACAGTCTGCCAGCAGAGGACACGTTGGCAGGTATGTTAGCTCCACAAGAATAATTTGAATCCTCACCAGAAGGGGTACCATCCTCTTCCAATTGATACTTCCCATATCCAACAACATGAACACTAAGCATTTTACTTCCTGGTCCTCTATGAGCCTTGAACCAGTTGACCAGGTCTGATTTTGAGAATGACTTCAGTGCTTCAATCTCATGGGCAAAGCAGTCAAAGAGGTACTGCTGTGTCACCACTTCATTCCAGTTCCTATCCACCTCCTCCCCAAGGTGGGTATCCTCGCACTCCTTCAGCTTGATAAGAGCTGTGACCTGGGTGTTGAGTGCCTCTTCAGTGAGATTTTCGATCTTCTCTTTAAAGCTAGAAAGGAACTCTTCTATCTTTTTATCAACAACTTCAGAATTGTATTTGGTTGCCTGAGTCCCCACGGTGACAGAAAATCCTAGAATCCCAGATGTGTTCCTACAGGTAGGGTAGACATGGTACCCAAGAGTCTGCTTGGTTTGAAGGAAGTCAAAACAAGGTTCTTCCATGTGCATCACCAGCAGCTCCATAAGAGTACATTCTCTTAGACTCCTTGTAGCTGACTGGTAGTACACAGTGACTTCAGAGTTGGCATCACCCTTCTTCAGAGCTTTCACTTTGCACAGATGGTGGCCCCTGGGCAGCTCTACCACCTGGAACTGCACAGGCATCTCCTGCTCCAGAGGCATGAAGTTTAGTTTGTCAACAACATATTTCATGAAATCCATAGATTCTGTGCTTGTGACATTCCCTTGTACCAGGCCCTCAACAAAGAGCTGGGATTTGAATTCTCTGATGAAGCTCAGCAGACACTCAAGGGTCAGGCCATCCATCAAAGCCTGGTACTTGTCAATCACAAACCAACGGGCATATTCCAGGATTAAAAGCCGTACATCTATGGCCAAAGTCTCTGTCTTGATGAGGATGTTAAAGTAAGTCTTCTTCAACTGCTCAGTTATCATTGTAAAGACAGCTGGTGTGGAACTGAACTCTGCTACATAGTTAATAGTGAGCTGAAACAGTAAAGGTAGTTTGTGGTTAAATCCTTTTACTCGAATAACTAAACCATATTCTCCAGCTACCAGTTTATACTCCAGCTGTGCCACATCTGCTTCATAAGCTGGTTCTGCAAGGTTATGAGAAAGGATATTGACAAAGATATCAAAGAGGACCACATTTGCTGCATATTTCTGAATCAAGGGTAAAATTAGATGGAAACATATATATGCTTTGGGGATTTTGAATTTGTTGTCTTTCTTATACCACAGGCAACCTTGTGGAGTATTAACAATTTTAACTGGGTATCCTGTTTCAGGGCAATCGAAAGCCTTCAAATGTAAAGTCCGTGGCTATGTACTTGTTTTCAGCTGGAAGACGAAGATCTGGATTTAATTCAAAATTACTATTCCACAGCTCAGCCCAAGAGTTTTCAGTATCTTCTATACTATACTGAGTTCCAAACCATTTCTCCTTGAGGTCACATTTTCCCTCATTAGCACCAGACAGTAGAACAAAATTTGCTTTTTGAGGAACTAGCTGATTCAAGGCTTCAGCAATGACTTCTGGGTTGCATTCAAAAAGAAGCTGATCTCCGGTGAGAATGTCCTGCAGTGGGTACAGCTGTATGTTCTCACACATGTTTTCCACATACTCAACTGGATCTGTCTGTTCTTGGTAATGAAATTCATTATCCTCAATTTTCCGAATCTCTTCAAAAATTCTTTTTTCTGGGCCTAGTTTCTGCAGCATTTTTAAATACTGAAAGGCAGTGTAAGCAACCTCATAAAAATGTTCATAACCCTCATCAGTCAATGTAATAGAAATGCTGAACACTGAATAAGTGGAATTTTGCTCAAATCCCGTCTCACCATTTCCACCAAACAGTGCAAGAGCCCAGCACTTTTTCCTAAGGAAAGAAAGAATGCTGCCTTTGCCTTCATGTCCAGCCAGCCATGATATGTAATGAAGTGGCTTCACCCTGTAATGTTGCTGTTGAGGAGGAAGTGCCCATGTGATGGTCAGAGCATGAATTTTTCTGATTGGAACAACTCTATAAAGTTTGTTAAATGCTGGTGTGTCAAATGGATCTGTTAAATGGCAAAAGTTTGGTTTGGGTAACCCATTGTTTGGTATTTCAGAAAATATTTCAGTCACCCACTTTTCCAAAGTATCCAGTGTTTCTTTGGATTGAATCACTAAAGTCATGTAATGAGCAGAGTAGTAACATGTCCAGAATTCTTTCAATCTAGAATGTGTATCAATATTATTCTTTTTTGGCTCATGCTTGAGCGTCTCAGCATTTCCCCAAAAAAATTTCCCATAGGATGTCCAGGTCGAGCAAGGCTTCCAAACAACAGTTCCTTTCTGTTTGCACAAGAAGGCCTTGCAAGTTGATATTCACTACCAACTGCTTCAACTTCATGGTCAATAGAATCTCTGATCATTAGTGAATGGATGAAGAACTGGGCCCATCTGTCCAGGGCTTCTTTGAAGTACTTCCTCTGGACATCAAACTGAAAGACTGTGCGTTCACAATCAGTTGAGGCATTATCACTATCCCCATGCTTCCTCAGGAAGGCATCAAATCCATTCTCATCTGGATATTTCAAACAACCCATGAATACCATGTGCTCCAAAAAGTGTGCCAGCTCTGGCAGGTCATCTGGATCAGTGAAACTCCCAACTCCAACACAAAGAGCCACAGAAGACTGTTTTTCAGTAGTTTTCTTTCTAGCTTCTGCCCTCTCTTCTAATTCTTCCAATTCATTATTCTCAGTATCAAGATCATCATCATGTTCACCATCAAACTCATCTTCATCATCAAAACTCTCTTCATCATCATCTTGTGTTTCAGCTCCAGAAGCTTCGTCATCATCTTCTTCCTCTAGTACCACCTCCTTCTCCTCCTCTTCTTCTTCTTCCTCTTCCTCTCTTCCTCTCTTCTTCTTCCTCTTCTTCTTCTTATTCTTCTTCTTTCTTTCTTTCTTTCATCATCTGTTGTATTTCCTGTTTTACCTTCCATATTACTTAGGTCTGAAATCAAAAGTGCCTGCAAGCCATTCTGTAATTTGATGTATCGGTATTGCTTGGGGTCCCTGGGAGACTGGATGATCTCAGGGTCCCCGGCATTACTGAGTGACCCCCTCCATCCCTCTTCCTCAGATTCATCTGCTTCTAGACGGGCAATCCGGCTGTTTTCGCCCAGAATCCTGTCCATTGAGCTGAAGGTCAGAGCAGCTTCAGGTAGACTTCACGTTGTTCCTTCCAGGCATGGCCAGAATGGGAAAGGGTCTGGCAGCAGCAGAGTCTTCGCACCAACCCCGTTCTTTGATTCCCCAAAATGCCGTGAGCTCCTGCCCGGCCTCACACAACTTCCTCCGGGTGGCACAGACTGCAGCAACCGTGACTCTCCTCAGCATTCACCAGCACACTGGAGCGATGGACATCTCGCTTCCCAGGACCCACCTCCTCCACTCTTCTTCTTCTTCTTTTTGAGACAGATTTCATTCTGTTGCCCAAGGTGGAGTGCAATGACATGACCCAGCCTCCACCTCTGGGCTAAAGCAATCCTCCTACCCCAGCCTCCCAAGTAGCTGGGACCACAGGCATGTATCACCACATCCAGCTAATTTTTGTATTTTTTTGTAGAGATGGGGTTTCACTATGTTGCCCAGACTGGCCTTGAAATCTGGGGTTTAAGGGATCCTCCCACCTTGGCCTCCTAAAGTGCTAGGATTACAGGCATCAGTCATCACGTTCTGCCTTTCACAGCTCTTTATATCTCCTTTTGTTTTGTAGCTTTTTCAAACATCTATTGCTGTCTCAGGAAGCTTTGCATATGCTTATGAAATGTCTCCAGGTAGTTTGAGTACTTCATTCGCACAGGCCCTCTCTCAAAAAAAAGGGACACTAGAAGCATTCATTCCCTGACTGTCTGCCAATCTAGTCCTTACCTATCCATTACCAGAAATTCTTTTCTTTTGCTTATATCTTATTTATACGCAGGGAATTGTTCTTTGAGCCCATTTTTCTACTTTCCATTCTCTGAATTTGGATCATAGTAATCCACATCTTCTAATGCTTCCTGAAGCACTCAGGATATCACTGGCAGAACTGGGAAAACTGCAACTGTCTTGACAACTTTGTCCTGTCGATAAAATTCAGCCTCAGCAGGCAGAACAGTACTCAAACTAGGACAGAAGTATCAAGTATCATCTCCACAACCACTTAATCTTTGACCTCACTACTAAGGCAACCAACAAGGGCACCAATCAGTAGGAGATCTGAAAATTGATTTAGGTAGCTTTTACAAACTCTGCAAAAGATCAGAGGCAGAAGAGAAAAGAAGGCAGGAGAATGTCTCAGGGTAATTTCTTTGATTAAAAAAATAACAGAAGTTCCTCCTTCAGGCTTGTAGCTTTCTATCACAAAAAGAAAAATTTAAAGAGAAAAAGAAAAGAAAACTAAAAGAGAAGTTCCTGTCCAGCTGTATGTTATTTTTATTTCATAAAACACTTGTAGGCATCTTCAAACAACTAAGCTCATTTAAATTCATTGAATTTTTATCTACTTTTTAATCTGCCATTAATAATGGTATTGTGGGGTTAGATGTCTTAATCATTCTTCCTTCTAAATACCTTCTAGTTTAGAATGTATAGAGAGTTTTAAAGAATCAAAACTGAAAATGTATTTTGCCTGGGTCCTTTAGTGGAATCATTATTACTATATGATAAAGTTGTGAGTCTTGTTCATTCAGGACCTTTTCTTGACTTATTAGAATACCTATTTTGTGATTTTTTTTTAATATATCCAATATACATTTTTTGTTTTTCTATGAAAATGCTTCTTGACAGAGGCATTAACTAAAATTGTAAAATGACAAAAATATATACTGAGCAGGCTAAAACTATTGACATTTATCCAATTTGACTCCTTGCTTTCATTTTGAAATAAGGATAATGGAGATTTAACTGGAAAAATGCTTTCTCATCCTAATTCTGCTACTTCCTAGCTGTGTCATTGGGCAAGTCACCTATTATCATCAGCCCTAATTTGTTTGCCATAAACAGTACTGAAATGTTACCTTATGTCTAGGTTGATCGTATACAGAAGTAAATCTTTTTTATCAACACTATAAAAAGGAAACAAAAAAAGGCAGTGGTAGAGTAGATGAAAATAATTACGATATTTTGCATTAGGATTTGAGTAAGTGATATTAATGCAAAATGGAAAATAAATAAAATATATAGAAAAGTGAATGAAGATACTGTTTAAAAGCATTTTGAAGTTATAATGCTAATAAAATATGGCAGAATACAATCTTTTTCAACCACTTGTTTTGTATTACTATAACACCTGTGCAATGTAGTATCTCTAGAGATATATAAACTATTATTTTTCTTTATGAGCTATAATTTTTTTCTCTACAATTCTCTGAACTGAACAAATATACTTAATTTTAATCTTGAGCTATATAAAATAGATAAGCAGTAATAATATTACAAGTTGGAGATAAAAGTCATGTTCACTAGTTGTCATAAAGCAATCACCCTGCCTCTTAGCCACTTAAGACATAGAGAACCCCAAGGATAGGTTATTGGCACTTTGCACCCCCTCCAACCATTTATTCCCCACAGCTACCTCTTTGAAATAAAGAGGAAGAAGTTGAAAAGGGAACGAGCTATGATGCACATAACCCATGACAAGTTTTTTGGTATAATGATTTATCATACATGTCCGACCTCTGACTCTCACTTGAAAGCTTTTTTTTTTTTTTGAGACAGAGTCTTGTCCTGTCACCCAGGCTGGAGTGCAGTGGTTTGCAACCAGATCACTGCAACCTCCACCTCCTAGGTTCAAACAATTCTCCCACCTCTGCCTCCCAAGTAGCTATTCTCCCACCTCAGCCTCCCAAGTAGCTGGGATTACAGGAGCATGTCAACACACCCAGCTAATTTTTGCATTTTTAGTAGATGGGGTTTCACCATGTTGGCCAGGCTGTTCTCGAACTTGTGACCTCAGGTGATCCTCCCGCGTTGGCCTCCCAAAGTGCTGGGATTACAGGCATGAACCACCATGCCCGTCCTCCCTTGAAATCTTCTATTGTTTTTCTTGTGCTGCCTAAGATAAAATTCATCAAAATCTCATAGACCTTAAAGGCTCCTCCTATCTTGAAATGCTTATATTATGTGACCCAAAGAATGGAAGAAATGGAAGGATGTGTTTGAAGGTAGTACACGTAGCACATGTGGGCAGAATCCTTGAAAGTTTTAGATAGGACTGTGGTCAGCAGATTACAAATATCAGAGAGCCAGAGACCTACATTTCATTCTCTGAAACAAGCATGAGTTGGGGAACAGCAGGACATCCCAGGAGAATGGCTGTCTGGACCATTTCGAGATGTTGGTACCAGGAATGAGATCTTGCTTAATCCTGGGATTATGGGGCCTAGACCAGGGCAGGACAGGGGGAAGGCACATATGACAGATTGTATTCCTCACCAGTCAGGAGGGAGGGGTACTTGGATTGAGATTAAATTTAATTTAAAGACAAAAAGTAAACATACATTTTTCTGTATATATGGGGCTTCAATTTCACACCTATTGAAATATTCTCATGTTAAAAAAAAAGAAAAAAGAAAAAAAAAAACCTTCTTTCACCCCATCTAGTTTTCAGCCTTCTATCTCATTTATTTCCTTCAACCTCAGTCTCTCAAAAGAAAATCTATACTTGCTCCCTCTCTTTCCACATTTCCCCAACAATTTATTTCTCATCTCCCCTGCAATCAGACTTCTACTTCAATTTCATCATGAAAAAGGTATTTGCAATGATCACCGGTAATCTTCTAACTGCCAAAACTGATAGCTCTTTCCCTGTTATTCTGAGGAGGATTCTGTAGCACTGAATCCTTCTTATCCTTGTATTATTTCTGGAACTTCTCTTTATGAATCTCATTCTCTTCCCCTTCTCCCTGCCCCCTAACTACTGTAGGATCCTTGACCCTTCTCATACATGCACTCATTTCATGTCTGATCTCACTGATTTCCAAGGATGTTTCAAATACTACTTAAATATTGATTGTGTGTGTGTGTGTGTAATCTTCCTATTGCCTCTCTCTTAGCAACAAATAACATACATTACTGCCAAGAAGCTCTCTCAAATTTAATATCCTTCTGCCTTGTCAAAATGTGCTTGTTCCAAATTGAACACATCTTTCAATTTTTGAAATTGCCTCACTCTTACCTGTCTTAATTCTTAACGAATTAGGAAGAACCATCTCGTGGAAGTCATATCAAGGGTAATGTACAAGGAAAATGAAGACTAGAGTCAGTCACTAAGGCCAGCTTAATACAGGTCATACAAAGACCTGTAGTAAGGTCAAGCTGGTTTTCTATTTTTACACGTTTACAATTAGTGAGAACCATTTAAGAACTTCCATTCTTTCTCTTCAATTGCCAATTGGATGTCAACACCCAGCTCTGAAGCCACTTGCTGATGATTGCACTGCTAGATAGCAAAGATTGTGGAGAGCCTCTCTTATCACATTTTTAATGTACTCAGCAACTGAAATGTCAGGGTTTATCTGTTACGGAATTACTGTCACACTAATAAATGTAGGTAATAGAAAACAGAGGCTTAGCACAATGAAATAACTTACAAGATCACACAGCTAGTCATATCAGAAACTGAATTTGTAAACAGGTCCCCATTAATTCCAAAATTCATGTTCTTTCTGCACAGCTATGGCACATCAGACTCATCAGTTTACATAAGAGTTTTTCACATTGCCATCTACTTAGTTTTTATCCAAGCACATGATTCTCCTTTAATCAGGAAAACATACTGTTTTTCTTTCCATATTCTCCTATAATGGTACCTATTCAAAGCAGTAAGCAAGTAAACAAAATGTCTAGAACAATTTTAAAAATCGATATTTTTAAAACATGAACAAGGAAACATAACCTAACTTAGGTTGATTCCCAAATATGGATAACCTGTATCAGAATTATTGGGAATGCTTGTTAAAAACACACATTCCTGGCCTCATCACAAATCCATTGCTTCAGAATCTGTGTTTTGTGTAAAAGTACATAACCCATGTTATTCCGATGGATACCAAGGTATGAGAATGGCAATTATAATATTCTAAATTTAAGCTCCATGTCTACAGAACACATGCCTGGATGAACCTTATAAATTTAGGCAATGACAGAAACTTTTCACCATTATCCTTTACTTTGTCTTCACAAATTTAAAAGTTACTAGAAGTCCTAACATATATAAACAAAATGATTTGTGCACTGGAACTCAAGATTCTACATCCTGAAGTAGAAAATTTTATGTTACCTCATTTACTTTCTTATTAATTATTATGTGATAATTAGTAACTATTAATATACAAAGTAAACACATCACTATG